CACACACACACACACACACACACACACACACACACACAACATGCCATGCACACACTCTTTTGTCAGCTGATACAGGAATGTGTGTGAGCTGTGTGAGCCAAATGTCAAATGCCTTGTTCACCTGCTAGCATTCTGCTGGACACACACAGCTGCCTGTTTATTGCCTTATTTAGAAACTAGAAATGGTTGCATTGACCATGTTCACTGAACTTGACAAGATGAGTTCTCCGGCCTTTAGGGTTTTCAGCGAGTTCTGCACTTGTTGGATGCTTTGTTTGTGTACGGTGCTCATGGTGGTGAGGGATGAGACGGTTCCATCACTCCTCAGAAACTGATCAGGTTGGCCCTCGTTAACGCACAGTGTCACAGTCAGTGTGGCCTCTCTCCGTATAAATAGCACATAACAGGTACAGTGCTCCTGTCATGGAGGGAGTGTGTGTTTAGAGACATGAGCAGCGATTTATGCTGTTCGCACTCTCAGTGATCCTTGACCCTGAGAGGATCCCCCTCCGCCTCTGCGGTGAACCTGTATGAGGTGTACTAGCGGGCTGATTCTAAAATCAAAAAGCTCACCAGTGTGGGCTGTGTTACTGCTTTTGTGAAAAAATGGAGATCCAGATGAATTCAGCAGCTGGTCCCCCTCTTCTTCAACAGCTGTCAGATTGCATCTTGCAATATGAGAAACAGCTTACAGATTGATCAAAAATCAAAAGCCTCTCCAAATATAATTCACAAAACATCAGTGCTGCTGGACACGAATGGTTGTTCTCAAATGTATTTTAAGAGGGTCAAATGGCTCGATAGCACATTTCATACAACCTTTGTGAAGATTCTTGTGGTTGTGTAGCCCAGCCTTGAACCTTTTTTCCTCTTTTCACTGTTTTTCTTCTTCTTTGGGTTCCAGAATGCAGATGTATTTGAATAGCTGGCCATCTGCTTGCTAAGGGTCTGTTCAAGAGGCTCGATATCACATTACCCACACTTGACTGTGGGGGATGAATGAAAGTGAGCATGGTTATGGCATTATCAGAAACCGTGGTGTTTGGAACAGATAGATTCTTTACAAAATGTTCTTTTTTTGCCACTGGAACAAAAATATCTGTATGAAGCAGGAAAGCTGAAAAAAATAATGTTGAAAGGTCCAGAATAAAACTGAATACACTTAACAATGTTGTTAAGTAAAATAGATTGTAAAAACGTTATACTTTTGCTTTGTGTCCCGATTCGTTTGTTTAGGAAAAGCCAAAAGGTTTAATTTTCTTATTATGCAGCTTACTTTCTTCATAAAACACTGTATAAAAAGATTGATGACATGTCACAACTTCTCAGAAATGAATCCAAAATAATCTGGATACGAAAGCTGCTATTTTGCACATTTGGAACCTCGGTCTGTGTAGTAGTGATCTGGGGATGGAGCAGGAGTATTAGGGTCCAGCCAATAAGCACACTCGACCAATCACGAGTCAGTCATGTTGTTACACCTTTTGCATCAAATATGTTATCAAAAACTTTACTGAAAGATGAGCGCTTGAGGGAAGATAAGTGTGATAAGATGACCTCAAATGACAGAAACCATCTTTGTTAAAAATGTATTACTTTAACTGTGAAGGATTGGTCCATTTTCCATCCACTAACATGGAGGAGGCAGTTTATGACCTGTTCTCCTGCCAACCACCAGGGGACATTTAAATTGCTTTGCCTTTTGGGGAGCTGTCTTGTCGTCAATCTTTATAAACAGTCTATGGTGGAAACTTGTCCATTATAACTGGCAAGTTAATGTCAACTAGCTTAAGTTTACAGACACAGCTTCCGTCTTCATTATATTATCACTAGCTGTGTATTTGTTGTCTTTAGGACCATAATTGAAAAAGTCTGATTTAAACATGTTATGATATCTTGTAAGTTTATGTAATGTCTCTTTTCTTGTCATAAACAAAAAACATGACTTAGCTAACTCGGTTAGATGTATCGTGCTGGTTTCCGGTACCGGATGTATATTGACATGTGCTGAGGTTATCATACAAGTATTTACAAATTTAAAAAAAAGTTGGTGAAGGAAAATTAGCAGTTGTTACTTTAGAAAAATAGGAAAAAGATTTAATGATTGTGTGCCAGAAATAACAATAGGAAAAGGAAGATAAAATAAAATTAGCAAGTGACACATATAGAGGAGTAAGATAGCTAATTTACAAACACATTTTTTCAGTTTCTTTCAATTACCCAAGGAACAAAATGATTGGTAATGTATTTAGTAATATTTCCTGATTGGCCAATAACGTTTCACAACATTAAGCCAATATTCTGATTTTCTGGCTTCAAAATCCTTATGGAACAATAAAACAATATTATGCAGAGCTTTTGAAATCAAATCAAATTGCAGGGTGAATATCCTCATTAGGTGGCATACAGGAAGTGGTTAGGTTACCATCCAGACCCCAGACCCCTCACAGACACGCACAGAGGAATAGGTCGAAGGCCACTTCAGCTGCAGCTGGCCACTGAAAAGCGATGCTCCGCAGCTGAAGCGACCACTTTCCAGCCCTTTCTATGAATCATAAAAGTAAGACTGCGGGGCATGTAGGCAGCAAATGACAGGATGTTATGATTTATAGGTGTCAAGTGTCAGGCACATTGTAGGTTTAAGTGGTTTGCCTTTCACCAGTGTGAGAACTGGAAATGAGTGGATACAAAAAAGAGAGAGGCGTGTTAATGCTTTTGAAATGAGGAGCCAAGTGAATCCTCCTCAGCAGTCTTTTCAGTTCTTCATCTCAGGTGTCACATACTGTAGTAGGACGTGAGATGCAGGAGGAGAGTCATCTGCATATTCGTAGCACTTTTGTCACATAGGCATCAGCTGGGCGTAATCATGAAAATCAGAAAGAAAAGACTGGGATTGGATGGGATCAAATGCTGAGTCTTGATAAGCTCATGTCAGTAAATGCGTGTCAGTCAGGTATGATTTCATGGTAAGCGTTTGATTAAACCCTTTGACTGGCTGGAAGACATCTTGAGAGAAGTTCCATTCTGATCAAAGGTAAGTGTTTGAAACAGAAAGAATGTTCATGTCGAAATTTGATGAAAGAAGTATTTCGGGCGTTCCTAGTATCAGTCACTGCAACAGCTGGTGGTCCCTCATGGTGCATTCTTCTTCGTGTCTGTGTGTGTGTGCGCGTGTGTGTGTGTGTGTGTGTGTGTGTGTGTGTGTGTGTGTGTGTGTGTGGACTGTGTTTGGACTGTGTTTGTGTTGTGCTGGGGTGTGGGAGTGGAGACAGAGCACATTTGCTGGGGCACCACAGTGGCCACAGGCTTCCCATGAAAGATAAGGAAAATGGACGGCATTGTGTGAATCCTAACCCCATATTTTCACCTCCTCTATGATGTCAGACCACATCTTTTCATCATTTTTACAAGCACAGTCAAAATGCCTCACAATCGGTTGACCCTGGTTCAGATATGCTTGCTGTCTGCTGGGTAGATTGGATCCCAGGCCCCAGTAAGCCCTCGAGGGAGTTTGGCTGACGGTCAGATTGGCAGCCTAATAAATACTTCTTTTCATTAGCAGCAGCCTCGATCCACTGTGCTTAAATGTAAATCCCCCTCATCCTCTCATCCTATTGACCATGGTACAGGATGGGTAGATTTTGTCATGAAAGTGCATCTTTGGATGAATTGCTAAAGTCCACAGATGGGTTATTCCTCAGCAGTGTTGCTTCCGGCTGGGCCCCATTAAACACATTTATCAGTGTTCACAGGTGGGAAGTTGTTCAGTAATTCTTCACCCATTGTGGTTGGTCTGCTCTGTGTCTCTTTATTGGAAGTTAACTTGCACTTACCTGGAACAGTGAAAAGGACTGTAGTGTGGAGAAAGGTTGTACAATCAAAGCCACAAATTATAAGACTGCAAAAATCAGAGTGAAAAGAGAAAAATACAGCCCCTGAAAATATTGTGTCACTACAGACAGCTTATGACTCCAACAGGGTCCTCTTTTTCTGAATTTAGACACACTCCCTCCATGACAGGAATAGTAATCTCCAGTTAATCTGAACTAATGTAGTGTAATAAAATGTCTGGCCTCTTCAGCACTTTGACAGCAGCGATGTATTTGATGGTTTTTGGGAAGGTGATATTTAAGTCATCTAAGCCAATTCAGTTGTGTACCTTACCCTAATGGCACACCCCCTTACCATGGAGGTGGTAATATCGTTGCCCTGTGTTCCTCACGAGTGTCATATTGGGACAGATGAATTGTAGCAACATCCCAAGTTACACAGAATCCATTTGCTGATTGGATTCTAAAGTAAGCAGCTAATACAGCAATATGGTCAAGATTAACCGTCACTAATGCAATCCTTTCTGAATGTGTAATCTTCTTACATTAGGTCAGACGGAGGCATGCCATATTAAACCCACAGGGTGTGGTTTTTATTGTTCTCAGGCAGCCCTCAGCTGTGGGACAGTTGTGTGTGTGCCATGCCACCAGCACTTGGCCTCAGCCACCACCCCTGTCCCCTTACCCAGCTTACCCAGCTCCCTGGAGAGCCTCAGCCCTGCCTCTAGACAAAACCTTAAACCCCCCAGCTGCCTGCTATATTGCTGCCTCAGGCGCCAACCCTCCCTATCCACTGTAGAATCAGAGCTGATAAAATAGATGTTCCTTTTGTCGTGTAGTCAGGGTAATGCATTGCTTCACATAAGATCAACATAAGGTCTTGATCTTGTTAATTTTAAATGCTGCAGCTTGTGTGTGATGAACTGATGCCAACGCAGTTGGAAACTCAAACTGTTTCCCCCTCTTGAACCAAATTAGAACCAGATCATACTGCATATTTCTTTTGTACAGACTGGGACTGACTTTGAATACATTCCTCTTCCAATTGTGATACACGTTTCTTTCCTTCCCATTTCCCCTTTTGTCTGGTTCATTACTGATGACCTTGCCTTGTCCGATAGTAATCAGGGTCTGATTGATAGCTGAACCTGGAGGACAAACCAACCATTTGTTAATTTGAATCGCAGTTGTCATACTGTCTGTTTGACTTCTGTCTATATTTGAGCCCTCACTGCTGGGCTGCTACATACGGGGGCCCAGTTGGTGGTAGCCAGAAACATACACTCTCTTACTGCATAAGCTGTTGCCCCCTGTCACAGGCCTCTGGACAGTTGCCTTTGGACCCAGTAGGGCGATGCTAGCGATCTGAATGATGCACAGGTGGAGCATTCCCTGTCTTGAAGACATACCTCTGCATTTGCCTGTGAGATTTCTGAAATGAGCTGTGACATCATCGGCAACTGTCATTAATGTCCTGCAGAAATGTAATCAGAGCACAACCCTCAGTCACACCATCAACATTTGATCTGTGTCATTGTGTTTTTTTAAGATTAGGCTTGAATTAATAACTTCTGCTAACAAAGGACTGAGAACCCTAATGGTCAAGGAAGGATCAATATCATTTGCACAATTGTCTAGATAACATTCTGGGAAATGATTGATCAAAAAAGCCTGACTCTGCTTGCTCTGCTGTCAGACCAGCTAATGGATTTAGGATTACTTGTTTGTACACACAGAAAGCAGGTCCAGAGGCTACTGCTAAGTCAGCTTTGCTTTCCTCATTGTCTGCAGGGGCTGGCTGTTACATGAGCGTCGGTCTGATCCTCAGGTTTATCAGCAGTGAAAGGGGATTTTCACAGTGTCAGTTTAGATCCCAATAGATAGTGGATGGGTTAAACCCCCTAAGGCTACTCAAGACAAGGGGGCGGAATGAGAAGAATCTTTTCCTGCAGGGTCACATCTGTCCAGGATCCTTGATCAGCTCATTGGTTCAAAAACAGTGTTGTTGATGTCTCTTTTGCCTTAGTTAAACACAGGCTGGCATTAATGGCATGTTTTTTTTGAGTCCAGTGTCATCTCCACCTCAATTACTTCCAATGTGGCATATTTCATTTATTCTAGCACATGCCTTGATCTTACTCTTGTTTAATTCTCTGAAGTGTCTCTCCTCATGCAGTTCTATTTTAAGCATAATTTATGTATTTATGTTGTGATATTGTTAGTGAATTTAAAAACCTCCTAAGCCCCCCACTGATTAATGAAATGCTGGGGGAAAGTAATAAGGTTGAAGATTAAACCATAAAACATCTGGGGTGAGCCTGCTGGCCACCCAGTATGAAGTCCACTCCTGTCTAGGGCAGATAGCGCTGGCTGCTGGTTCATTTAAAAGCAAGTCAGAACCTGTGTTTAGGCATTTTTTTGTTGTGGTATACTGTTATACGCCCACGTCTGACCAGAATACTATGAAACCATAGGAGGCAAGAGCCAACATGATACTCTTACCATACCAACATGTCAGGTTAAATCAGCATTTGTCAATAGAGTACCAAGAGATACATCACATAAGTCATAAAACATTTTGCCATTGGAAGTGCTCTGTACTGTAGTGTTCAACCTGAAGCCTTGTAAGGCCCAGTCACTTACACATCTTTATGAATTGTATTTTCCATGGCTTTTAGCTCTCAGCATTATTCATTATTTCACTCAATAACAGGTCTCTCGAGGAGGAGAAAAACTTCTTGTTCCATTAAGACAAAGGTTAAACGAAACTGGATGTTGTAACATGCTCCTATGTATCAGCTCACTAAAGTTTAACTTGCGATGGTGTGAAATATGTGCATATTGACTCTGCCCCTGTATGTCTCTCATTTCTAAAGACATGTATTTATTTTTACACAAGTATTCTGACATGCCCATACTGCTGTTCTAGATTAGACTGTGATGTAGATCCAGAGTCATTTTTCGATACACGATTGGCCGACAGATATTGACCTCAGTAATTATTGACTTTTTGTCAACATGCATCTATTGACTGTGCCACTCTGGTAGACATTTTCTAATTATTGCACTGACTTCTCTTTGTCAGTAGTCTGGAAGTAACTGACCCTCTTTCTGCCTTTTTAATTAAAAGAAACATCTGTGTATCCCACATGCAAATTATTGCCAATGCAAGTTTTGCAAATTGTATGAGCAGTAATCATTTTGACAATTAAGAGTGACAATCAGTCACAGCTAAGTCAAGTTAGCATATTAATTTAGCATAAAAAAAGCCTATTAGTGTATTGTTATATAGTTGTGCTATTTTGAAATTTAGTAAATACTACATTTGTTTGTTCTGAAGGAACAGAAAGCAGTATGATGAGTAATTTAACTATCAATTATCTCAACTTCTTTTCTTTGAGTTAAGTTTTTTATGTGGTGTTATCATTGAAAACAATTTAAACAGAATAGAAACTCTGGCTTTTTGTTTAGGTGTGTTACAAATGTTGGCCTTCCCCCGACTGTTAAACAGTAGCTCAACAGGAAATTGCTGATCACACTCTATGTGAGATTTATCCGGAAGGTTGGTATTGAACCTGAAAAGTGGCTTTAAATTACCCTGTTCTGTGCCTCACAGGAACTGACACATAGATGCTTCCCTGCCAAACTATTCCATGTCGTTGTAAGAGGCTGCTCGCTCAAGTGTTTATTAGATGAGGAGAGCAGTGGAGAGGGATGCTGTGCTGTGCTGAGCGGTATAATTTACTAGAGGACCTTGGCCTGTGGGCAGAATGGAGCAGAGAAAGCCACATGTTTGTGTGCATTTGCTTCAAATGGAGCTGCTGCAGCAGAAAGATGAAATCATTTAGATGGTTTGTTGGAGCGATTTGACCACGGCAGTCGAAAAGTCCGCCTCATGTCTGTCTGATCCAGTTGGCTGTGAGCCACAGTAAAAACATGCCTGCTTATTAACATGAAGCCAAGATTATTGACATAAGGACCGAAGAACCCCAATGGAAATTGTTTTTTTATGCTGGATTTGTGTATGTTCATGTCTAGGTCAGTACCACAGCTATCTGCTGCACAAATCTTAATAATCAGAGACATGGAGAATAGATTTGTGTGTGTCATGCTGATTCAACAATGAATTCTTAGAACGCAAAACATTTTGAAACAACAGGGCTCGCTATACAAATAAACAAATATTCCATAGAATTGGAAACCAGTAAAGTTAATTCAACAAATTTATGAGTTAGTTATTTGCTTGCACAGCTTT